TTCCTAGGGACCTTGTTGGGCTGGAGGAAAAAGTTGGAAAATTATGCTGTCAGCTGTAGCAAAAAGCACTTCATTTTAAGTTTTCATTCAGACTAGTAAATGTGGGGGAGGATAAAAGAGTAAAGTGATTTTCTTCATTCTCAGAAAAGTCAATTACAGGCCATAAGATTAGACAAAGTGGCAGTGGAAAAGTAATAAATGGGGACATCTTAACTCCTGTATGATCCCAGAATTCAGCTGGCATTTCCATCCACAAAGGAGGGAGAGTGTGGAGAAGCAGCGTGGGGAGGGAGGAGGAAGGAATATCCTGTGGACCATCCTTGTATTTCTCCCAGGTTCAATCTTCCCGAACATTTTATCCCCATTAATACAACAGATTGTAATCTATTATTTAAAAAATTACTGTCAGTGGGGGGAAGGTATAGCTCAGTGGTAGAGCACATGCCTCGCATGCATGAGGTCATGGGTTCGATCCCCCATACGTCAGTTAAATAAAAATAACAATAATAAATAAATAAATAAACCTAATCCCCCCTCCTCCCCCTCCAAAATACTGTCAGTAAAATTAAAAGCCAGATTTGCAGGGAAATTTAGTCATGGAGAAAATTAGAACTAAAACATATATACCCAAGTTCTCCAAAACCTGCCATCAGTCAAGGTCATGATTATAACAACATCAAGTAACAGATAAATCTCTGGACCCAGGTTGCTCACAATTAAAAGATGAAAATAATTAAGAATTCTGGTACCATCACACTTCAGAAGTACAGTGCTTCGTGGAAAAACGAAGTCAGAATTCGTGTTATCCATATTCCTTTCTATATAATTACATCCTAAACAGTCCCATATGTTATGTTTAATTTTAAAAAATATATTTCTATAGTTTATTTTTAATAAAGTAAAAAAGATTATCTGTGTCTTTCTAATTAAGTTAAAGTGTCCCTTAATTTATTTATCTTCTCCTATAGTGGGCACATCATAGGTTTTTATATTTTCTCTTATTAAAGATCAAAAACTACCTCTTGGGCCTAAGGCCAGATCACCATGCTCTTTACTTCTGAAAATCACCTACTTTCCTTTTTAATGCTTTCACTACCATTTTGTCCTTCAGGAGTTTTCTTCTCCCAAATTGATTTTATGTGATATCCCAACTCTTCTGAATCTTGCCGACCCAAGAGTAAACACAGGCTAATTTTATCATTGCTATTATTATGAATTAAAAAAGGATGGTGAAAATAATACACACGAAAAAGTCTAAATTAATAAATCTTGGTACCCAGTTTAGTTTCTGAATTCTCTTGTAAAAGTTAATGAACATATGAAGATGAGATGGTACCTTTTATCCACATTCTCTACTTTCAGGTAAGTCAGCAGATCTAAACCTAGATGTAATTCAAAACCGGCCAAACTCGTGTATTATTTCCACTCCTCAGGAATTCCAGTTAGATCATTTTACTGGATTTGCCCCCAAAAGTTCACACTGGGGCTTATCTTCATACCTAAAATAAAGCAGTTTTTTTTGAAGTATTACTGTTTAGCCTTATTTACAAAAAGATTTGAGGAACTTTATAAGAACACAAGGGGAATGGTAAGTAGATAAAAACTGGAATCTAGCAGAATAGAGCTAGATCAAGAATAAGTTAGAATATAGGTGATTGGGTTCTGCATAATTATTGCAAGTAATAGTCTGAGATTTCTTACAACTAAAGCAAAACCTGAGGGTGATCAATAATTTGCATTGTTCATAAGAAAAAGGTAAATTGATTTCCCAGGTGAAGTAAAGCTTTTCCTGAAGCTTTATTTATTCCTGAATAAAATTTCTCATTTGGATTCTGAGTGACATAAAGTTTTCTCAGTATCCTCACTGAAAGACAATAGCAAACCTTATTCAGCTGTTTTATCGATTTTTAAAAATTAGTATCGAAAAATGATCATCTCACATTACATGACTTAAAAGTCTTAAATTTTCGAAAATTCAAGCTGGAGTAATGAAATGGTAGCTAGCTAAAGCTACTGGTGATACCTGTTATCAGCTGTAACTATCAGAATGAGATCCTAACATCTTTAGTAGGGACTTAGGGTGGATACTCAGGCCAAGCTGAATTTACTAGGGGGAAAAAGGGGAAAAAAAAAAAAAAAGGGAGAAGTGCCAAGCCCTGCCTCTTCTCTGTTAATTCTCTGTATGTTTCTTTTCTTGAGTAGGGGGGTATTAGGCTTATTTATTTTGTAGTGGAGGT